TTAATGAATTCCATAGAGCTCTAAAAGATAATTTCTGTACCATCTCAGGTAGATGATCCTAAACAGGCACGATTAGGCAACAAAGAGCTGCTACTTCAGAACATTGATTATGCATTGGACCTTTACTTGATATTTGTACTCACACTCTAGATTTTCCCTGGGTTCTTATACGAAAACACGGGAAACCACCAATTGGGATCTTGGTAAAATTGATCATAAGTTCATAAGAAGCACAATAACACGAGCATTAGTTGTTCTAGCTATGCTCTTTTGGCTTTTCTTGCTGCTTAATCACAAAAATTATCCTTTTTCATAATATTAAGGGCCTCACAAAGTATAATTTTCAATGTTTACAGGTATGCAGTGGTTCTCATAGCAATGTTCTAACTTGTGGGACCTCATAGCACTATACATTCCCCTTATCGATTGCCTAAATCTCAAATCCAGAAAGGGCCTCATGTTCACGTGCCTGTCTCGATTCTTTCTCATCCTGTGTTTTTACTTCACGGCAAAATATGGAGACCAAGGATGAATGATATTTTTGGCGTCTTTTATGGGACTCACAAACGGATATTTAGCGGTCTATGTGCTGACCGTGGCTCCCAAAGGGTACAAGGTTAGTCGAAAAAATAAGAAAAAAAAATTCAAGAAAATCACAAAAGGATGCAATTTTTTTAATCCGATGATCATTTTCGGCGTTTAATTTGTTGTGGATGGGGATTTGGTACTTTTGCAAGCACCCGAGCAAAATGCGTTGGGCAATTTGTTAGTAGTTTACTACTTGCCGGGATATTTTCAGGCGTGGCGCTCGACTGGCTTTGGATCATTGGCAACGGTTCATTCTAGGGTTATTGTAAATAGTTCCGGTTAATAATAATTCTTTAGGTGTACAGGGTTTTCCTAGTCTCTAAACATGCAACTATGCAGTCCATCCTACATGGATTAGATGGTAATCATTCTCAATCTTGAGTATGATTTGAGTTAACAATTTCTCAACTTATACGCATTGAATAACTTTTAAAATTACTCGATTGATCAGTTAGATAACTGTGTATATTGTGAAAAGATAAATAACTTGTGTGATGTTACCAAATTGATGTCAAATTGGCCGATTGAACTTTCACTAATTAATTTATTTTGCAAAAAATTTATCTGAATAGCTCTTTGAACCCAAAACTAGTGAGTATCCCGTGCAATGCACGACGGATTTATTTTTTGAAACCTTTGTTTAAAATTTTATATAATATATTAGTTTGCTAACCGTTAGTATTAATAAATAATATTTTAGCATCTATATTATTGTTTGATATAGAAAAAATAATGATTGTATTTATTTTTGTTCATCATAAAACTCAACAATTATTTTTTTAAGAAAATTATTGTTGTATAATGTCATTATTATTATTATTTATAATACTTATAAAAGTAGTATTCTTTTTATATAAGTATATATATATATATATATATATATATATANATATTTAAACAAATTCAAAATAAATATTGTGCATATATGCATTCTATTCATTTTTAGAATTTGTCCAATCTCATAATAATTAAAAAATCATATATATATATATATGTGTGTGTGTGTGTGTGTGTGTGATTTTATGACATTATTAAATATGTTAAGCGAAAAAATGAAATTAGGAATTAGGCAGTACTATCGGTGAATTTTGTGGTAGAAGATATTAACTCAGAATTTTGCATTTGATTTATTTTAAATCGGTTAACTATTTGTAATTGTTAATGTAACAATAAAAAATGGAAATAATTATTGTAGTTAGATAAATTTCGACAACCAATTGCGTGTATTTTATGAAAAGTTAATTAAATTTCACACGATTGTTTAGTCAAATTTTTCTAAAATTTTATATGACAAAATGATTTAAATAGTCCATAGATTCTTTCCAAACTGTAAGAAGGTATATAAAAGTTAACAAAATTTCACAAGATTGTGTAGTATGAATATTTCAAAAATAATATGTATTAATCCTAAGAAACAAAAACATGAGCAATTAGATAGTATCATCGATGAATTTTATGATGGAAAACTTCTAATCAGAGTATTGAAATTTATGATGAAAGATATCCTCAAGATATTGTGTATAATTTTTTGTAAATAAATTAACAATTTAGAATTGTTAATGTACAAAAAATAATGAAAAAATCTAAATTATAAAAATGTGTTGTTTTCGTGTGATTTTTAAAAAAATCAATTTAACTCGGAATTTCAAAATTTTATACAAAGAATAATTTATACAGTCCCTATAAATTAAGATTCTTTCCAAATTGTAATTTGGATTCTTTTCAAACGATAATAAGGTGTTGAAGTTAAATAAATACGGATATCCGTGTGATTTTTTTGAAAACTTTTGTTTCATCGATTGTATAGGCGGAATTTAAAAAAAAATATTCAATTATGAATTGCAATTTAAATTTAAAACTAAAATTATATATAATTGTTTTACCGAAATTAATTATATATGCTGCCAATAGCAATAAATTAATCATATACAATAAACATTTAATATGCACATCCCATAAATAATTATTAAGCATATTAAATAGATTATGACATTACGCATATAAAAATTTATTATGTAATAATAAATTTGTAACATAAAAATATTTACTTGGTTTCAAAATTTTTGTTTCAGGTTGTCACATAATGCATAAAAATAAATTTAGATTAATAATTTCTTTACAAAATCAAATTCAGTAGGTTTAGTATAATATTTCAAAAATCATATGTAAATTATCGATATTCATATAGATATTATTATTATTATTATTATTATTATTATTATTATTATTATTATTATTATTATAAAAAAAACTAAGAATAGTAACTTTGAAAAATTTAAGCGGGAATTTCAATACTAGGTCAAGTATATTCCTCTCTCTATTATATAGTAATAGATTTATGAAAAGCAAATCAATATATTTATACACAAAATTCATAAATATAAATAATTTATGGAGGATTAGAGTTTATCAATATTTAGTATAGCATCCATTATTATCCGAACGATTTTTTTTTTGATTTACAACATTAATTTGAATGAAAAAAAACTCGTAATTGTTGGGATACCTCAATTCAAATCTACAAATTTGTTACCAATAAAAATAGATTCCTATGGGATTAATATTTAAGAAATATATTAAATTTTGGTATAAGAATCGCCAATTTTGTTATCATAAGAATCTACAAATTTTTTGGGATATCTCAATTAAATTTGATTCCTATAAATTTCATGTATTTTCTTTTTTTTTTAAAAAAATTTTTCAGTAATAGCAAGTCAAACAATTTATTTTTTAGTCAAATTTACTATAAAAATATTTTTCCAACAACTTCTTTATATTACTATAGATAAATACTATTTAAATACAGATTTTCGGAATATCACAAAATATGAATTTCGTAAGTAGAATAAATAACGTATCTTTTCTTTAATATCACAAAATATGAATTTCGTAAGTAGAATAAATAACGTATCTTTTCTTAAAAAAAAGAAGCAAGCAGCATTTGTGACGTTTGAGATATTCTTTCTACATGTCCTACCTACCAAATTCCACTAACTTGATACATAACATATCTTTGATATTTATAAGCCTCTAAGAGCTATATTTTGCCTTGTTTTGTGTTCTGTATATTACTCTACAATTATTTATTTACTTATTTTTATTAACACAAAGATAAACACTAAAGACTAATATAATAAAAAAAAAAAAATAGACATGCATATCAGATAACAAATTCAATCGAACAAAAATATTTATAAAACATTTCTGGTAGAATCATACCAGCACTTTGAATTATTAAATTCAATCCAACGATTTTGATAATGTTTATAAAATAGTTTTTGAAAAATTAAACAAATACTATAAGTAGTTTATCAACATTATAATAGAAGTTTGATAACTAATTCAAACATATTTTATAGAATACTTCTTTAAGTTGAATAATAAAAATATAATTTTGCTTACCATCATCAATTTGTAATGACTAATTATTATATATATATTTAAATGGAACTAGTACGTAACCCGTGCGATGCACGTGATGTAAAATTTGAAAAAATAAGATAACCTCACGTGCATTAGGATCGAAATTGAATCATTAAAATACATTGGAACATTGTTGAATCATAAAAAGTTCGGTAACAATCATATATTATTAAAAACCTCCTTGTACACAACATTATGAGTTTGATTATTTGATAACTCCTTATTATCACAAACTAATATTTTCAAAAGAGACAAATCCTAAAAATCAAACTAATATTTTTGGTGAACAAATTAATATTTTAGGATTTCTAGGATTTGTCTCTTTTTGGTGAACAAACTAATATTTTAGGATTGATTATATGAATAAGGCTACTATTTTTGGTGTTCTTTTCATTCATTTTCATTCAAACAATCCGATGACTTGTATAATGAAATCCGAATCTTAAGCCGAAATATTTAAAAAAAGAATTTTTAAAAATTGAAAAGTCAAGGCAATCAGTTCAGATTAATTAAAGGTCAAAGAATATCCGCTCCTTGAAATAAAGACGTGTGCTATCATTAACCAAATATCCGGTTATTGATATAGAGTGGTTACTAAAAAATAGAACGCGGTAAGGACGCTTCATGGAAAATCAATGGGATAAGGTCATAACAGATCGCTATACATTTTAATGATAAAAGCTCAGATGGAATGATTTATGATAATTATGTCGTAATTAATGAATTAAGTAGAAGTGTGGAAAGGACATAATTAATGAGAAGTGTAAAAAGGATATAATTAATGAGAAGTGTGAAAAGGACAAAAACTTACCGGTTTTGGAAAATATTTAATGCAAATCTGACATTGACCATAATTTGACCTACTATTTTGGATAAATGTTAATTCTTATTATATAAGTATAGATATAAAATAATATTGGGTCAAATTTGTAAAAGTTGTTAAATATTTATGTGGTATTGAAAAATGATAAAAGTTGATGCAAAATAAAATATTCCGAAAATATTCTTTTGGGTTTGAGTATGAGTTATTTGATTGGAGAAGAATTACTGTTTGATGTGACAGATATTACAAAATGAGTTTGAGAATGAATTTTTGAGTTGGAAATTGTCTTATTCCCAACCACCCATCGCGATTTCTGGCCCGTGGCCAGGGTGGCGCTGCCATCGGGCTCCGCGTCTGTTGGCGTAAGGTAATATTCTTTTTTTTTTCTCATGTAACTTGCAGTGTCGCACATAAATGTAAAATATGGTGTGAGAGATTTTTGTCCACTGACTTATACCAATGGGTTTTGGAACATCAATTGTTGTTGGTGATTGATTTTATGGTGTTCAATTCATCAAAATCCCTACAGCGCATCTCTATGGTGTTTTCTTATGATCTAATGTTTGTAAATTTCGTGAATGCTCTTTGCTAAAGTAATTAACAATTGAAAACAGACTATAAAAGGTGGACTGGCATGTGCGCGGACACGGAAGCACTTTGGGCACAGAGAAGGTGCATTATTTATCATTGGGGACACTGCAGTTGTCAGGTAAATACTAGGAATTGAGGGCAACTTGGTAGGTATATTACCATTCGAAAGATAAATGACACTAAAACCGAACAATACCTAAAATGGAATCATAATAATTTATTTCTCGCGACAGGTAATAGCCTCGCTAGAAATGACACAGAAAAGTTGAACAAAAAAATATAGAATTTATAATAATTTATAATTACTATGTGAAAGTATTTATAATGTGCCGTCTGCAATTGACATACTTCCAATCTATCTATCTATTAACTAATATATAAAGAGGCAATTATATTTACTTAAAATAATAACTAAAAATTAACAAAAAAAAATATTTGATTTTCTGCCTAAAAATATTTACTAAATTGAGTATTCTTTTTGACCAAAAATTGAATAATCCAGCTTATTGATATCTTTATTTTTTTTTGAAAATTTAAAATGTAAACATTGGGTCAGTCTGGAAACATAATCGGGCCTAATTTTGTGTCTATCGGATATATTTATGCTATTTATTTTTTAAAAGTCGATTGTCTTGCAGATCAAAAAATCTAATTTTTTTTTTAAACTACCAATTTATTTCAAACTTTTTTTTTCTTGCCAATAAAAAAATACGAATTCAGTTAATTTCAACAAAAGATTACCAATTATAAAAAAAAAATACGATTTTGCCAATAATAAAATACAATTACAAATATGATTTTTTTTTGTTTATTTTTGGTTCATAATCACAATAAAAGCTAATTCTAAACCTATGTATCATTCAAGTCCATAAGGTAGCACAATTTATGTACACTACATTTAGGAAGTAAATTTTATTTGCATATAAAATATTAGATTTTGATTTTTTTTTTTCAATACAACTGCTAATATCTGATTCCATAAGGTAGCACAATTTAAGTCTTTTTAAAGCTCTAATTGATAGCAATTTGACATTATTATAATTCTAAAATAGTACCCTAGGCGTAGTAAAACTCATTTGCACGATTTTCATACATAATTAACAATTGGATAATTGAAATTTTTTTATAATCTCACCAACTAAAAATCGGATATGTAACAATCCTAAAATAAATATAATTTGAAGATATGAAAAATCATATTGATAGTAATTTGACAAAAATAAAATTCTAAAAAAAATNTTTTTTTTTTTTCAATATAAATGCTAAAATCTGATTCCATAATACAAAAAATATATTTCATTTTTAGTTTATATAATCATTCCATATATATGTTATACATATTTTATTGTTATGATAAAAATTTTAATATTTTTATTTAAAGGCTATGGACACATGAGTTTGTCCCACAATCGACTCGATTATTGATAATTGGTGGTATCTTGTGTGATAAGGTGTAATAGCAAGATGGAGAGTGAAGATGGCGAGATGCATTGCACCAAGTGCACCCATACACATGGCACTACACGATTAGAATATTTTTTTTAATATTAAATAATTTTTAATTATTTATTATATTATTTGGTACTTTATGACATACCTTTCGTATTTATAAAGATACAAGATTTAATTTGGAGCCGCTGATGCTTCTGTAAATGACACTTTCATATGTTGGGATAGAAAGTGTGAACGGATGATTGACAAGTTCTGTGAGCTTCTAAAACGTGAATTTTTCGTGTTAAAGGTGACTAATATTTAATAAAAAATATCAAATACTTAAACTTTTATCAAACCAAGAATGTTGTGTATAAAGAAGTGTTTAATAACATTTTTTTTATACTTTATATTTCTCTGTTTTTTTTTTCTATTATACTCAAATGATTAATTTTTAAGGAAAAATATTTAAAATAAACTTTAGAAAAAAGGGTTTGAGGAATAAACCCCACCGTGCAACGCACGGGAACTACACTAGTAATTTCAATAATCCGCACATTTTTTTATATTTTTTAATTATGAGAAAAAAATATTGCTTTAATTGTGACGTAAAATAAATTTATAGTTATTTTCCAAAATTCTTAAGTATAGGACAAATTTCCAAAATTATTGTTGGAGTATGTAGAAAATCTAATTGTGAAGTGGTACTATATAGAAATTGACCTGTGTTGCAACAAATTTTATGCTTCTCAACAAGAAATCCGACTGTGATCATGTGGCAACAAATTTGATGCTTCCCAACAAGAAAATTGATTGAGATCATTTTTGAGTGGCCTTCCAAAACCAACGTTAGAAGTACTATGGAAAATGGAAAATGATATATTGCCTACCTCAAATGTCAAATTTATGCTCTACTAAGAATTTTACGAAATTGTGAATTCCTCGTAATTTGGCATTTTTAGTTTTGAAGCCGTGCAACAATAAATATTGTCATTTTCACCTCAGCAAATATTGTGAGCAATTTTTTCCTAAAAAAAACTAAGAGGGAGGATGTTTGAGAACTGAGCTCTTTAAACATTTTTAAGGCGGTTATAATCTCATAAAATTTGATTGGTAAAATTTTTAAGTCGTTTATAATTTCATAAAATTTGATTGGTAAATTTTTAAGGCGTTTATAATCTCATAAAATTTGATTGGTAAAACATTTTACCAATCAATTTTCTAATTCGCAAAAGAAATTGGTTTGCTTAAAGTTTTGTTGTTCGTTCTTGTTGGATTTTTTTAGTCGTTTTTTGTCGGTTTGGTTGCATCGGGAGCTTTAGCTTCTGGCTTGAGGCTAATCACTAAGGGAGCTTTTGATAAAACCGAAAATGGTCTTCGTAAGGGAGTTAGTTAGTCCACTATCTTACTCTAAAATGTAATCTTTATCTCATTAGCTTTCACGAGTACTTCATAATATTAATCGGTTGATTTTTTTATTTTTTCCCAATTCATCTAATATACATTTGCTTTTTTCTATTTTTGTCGATTATGCAGTTCTGTTTCTTGTCATCTCGACATTTTTGAATTTATATGTTATTTCCTCTACGCATTTGTGTTCAGGAATCTACGGATCGTGAAGCACTTCCGGAAAAAAAGTAGCCTTGGAAGGGTCCAAAACGGTCTCGGCTGATCTTGCAGCCACGGGTATCCATACCTCAGATGGCAAAACTGTAAAAAATCAGTTTTTAAAACCCACATATCTTTGATTGGTATTTTAGCTGTTCTTTTTAATTTTTTTATTTTTTTAGTTTTTTAGTTTTTTATTTTTATTTTTTTATTTTTTTTTTTTGAATTCCATAGAGTTTTAAAAGATAATTTCTGTACCACCTCAGGTGGATGATCCTAAATAGGCCCGATTAGGCAACAAGGAACTGCTACTTCAGAACATTGATTACACATTGGACGTTTACTTGATATTTATACTTACACTCTCGATCTTCCCTGGGTTCTTATACTCTCCAAGGAAGGTCTTCCGGCATGTACCGATCATCATCTTACTTCATGGCTCAGACTCTTGGTGACGTGCCCATGGAGTTAATCCTTCCCAAACTAGTCTACACCATAACCTATTGGATGGCGGGCCTCAGGCCCACAATAGCATATACTTTTTGTTGGGCCTACTCGTTCTTTTATACAACGTAAAGTGCACTCAAAGGCTCGGTCTTGCCCTTGGTGCCAATGGTCATGGACTCAAAATCGGCCATGATGCTTGGGTCAGTTATCATGCTGACCTCATTGTTGTCCAGTGGGTATTAGCAACGAGGTCAGCATGATAACCAACCGAAGCGTGATGGCGGATTCGAGTCTATGACCACCGCACCAAGGGTAAGACCGATCCCTTGAATTCGTATTTGTTTGATCGCACAAATGAATGAGATAATAGTTAAAAGATTATCTTGAAGTATTAATNGTATTTGTTTGATAGCACAAATGAATGAGATAATGGTTAAAAAATTATCGTGAAGTATTGATTTTTTTTTTATCGTTTTTAAGTTTTGTTAGAAACCACAAATTCATTGAATATAACTTGATCAACAAAAAAGATTTTGCTATATCAAACACCACTAGTATGTGGCCCGTGCGATGCACGGGTAAATAATATTAAATAATAATTATAAATTGACGATATAGGTATATAATATATATTCGTTTAGATTTTTGAGTGCCACTTTGAGATTTTTTAAGATTTGAGACTTTTAAGATGATCAAATTTGAGAGGAATACTATGAAATCTTAAGTGTGAATGTGAGATTTAGAGTGAAATTTTTTATAATGTCTCATAACTAATCTTAAAAAGATCTAACAAATCTTGATCTCAAATAAGTTAAATATTTAAGAATATTTTAAGATTTTTTTTAATTTTTATATATCAAAGATGAACCGCTTTTATTACCAAAAAATGTGGACACAATTTTGAATGTACATCCCGTCCAAATATCAATTTTATTCTAAAATAAAATTGCACGTGGTTTTATCCAATTTACACATTTTTTTTTTGAAAGAAAAAATTATTCAATAAGATTGGAAGAATTGGTTAAGAATTATACAACAATTTGTTTCCAAAATTTGTATCAAATTTGTACGGTTTTTAAGTTAATTTGTATTTAGAATTGTTTTCATAAATAATTGACACATTTTTGCATAAGAATCTCCAAATTTGTTACCAAAAAATATATGATTTAAATTTTGGTAAAAAAAATAAAATATGATACGGAAAAAATAGAATTCAAATTTGCCATAAGAATCTCCAAATTAGTTACCAAGAAAATAGGATTCAGACTTTGTTACTAAAGATTCACATGTATTTTTTTTAACTTTCCATTATTAGTAAGTCAAACATTATATTTACTTGGTCAAACTTTCTATTAATGTATTTTTTCAACAACCTCTTTATATATATATAGATATAGATTAAACTTTAAAGTCATTTCAAGTTAACTTGATAAAAAAAAATGCAGATTTTACGGTATATATTATCACCCATCTTGAAACCATAAAAAAATGCAAGTTAATCGCATAACAAAAGAAGTGCATAACAAGTACACGAAAGTAACTTAAAAANCAATCCTCATGAGGGCAATATAAGCTACAAGTCGATACCCCACAAGCAACACAGCCATAGGGATGATAGAAATGACAACACCACCGAACCCGACAGTTGCTATAGCCGGAAAATCCTCGACTCGACAAGCCTTATTACTGGCACAAGGATATGTCTCGCCAGGCGAGTATTGCGAAGCCAAAAGCAACTTGTACGTATATTGAGGAATCGAGATGTACTTAATCCAACTCACGAATTTAGGCACGTGCTGAGCATAGTACCTGCTTGACAACAATGATGACAGCATAATAACCGAACCAAGCGTGATGGCCGAGTTCGAGTCCATTACCACCGCACCAAGTGCAAGCCCGAGCCTTTGAGTGCACATCACACTGTATAAAAGAACGAGTAGGCCCAACAAAAAGGATCCTATTGTGGGCATGAGGCCCGCCATCGAATAGGTTATGTTGTAGGCTACCGTGGGAAGGACTAACTCCATTGGCAGGTCATCAAGAGTCCGAGCCAAGAAGTAGGATGACAATCGGTACATTCCGGAAGACCTTTCCTTGGAGAGTATCCTTCATTCTTGAGGGAAAGTGAAGATAGCTTGAAATAGAGGGTAGAAACCCCAAAACGACGAGTAGAAGAAGAAAAGCCCGACCTACATACATTTCATTCACAATTTCAAACATGATCACTTGCCACCAAGAGGCAAAGTTTTCGTTTATTTGTAATTAATTAAGGCCAAAGTACAAAATATAGTAACTATCATGTACACGCTAGCAATAATAGCAAACATCTTTACAACCTTTAAAATTTTGGAGTTATTAACCAAATTCAGCTGATGAATAGCAAAATATAGCCGGTATCTTTTTATGCTATGACAATAATAGCTGTTGAATTTAGTCAGACTTGCCAAAATTTTAAAAGCTATTGACTATTATTGTCAATTCTTAAAGACGGTGGCTATTTTTGCCACCGCGTATAAAATACTGACTATTTTAAATTAAACCATTAATTAATTAAGAATGAGTGTGTGGGTTTGACTTGGTCTTGTAGGTGACTGGTGTTGGATTGTCACCAGATTAGACCGCTCAGAATAGCCACGATGAGAACCTCGACAACCTTGAGTATAGAAAACGAGTCGTGCCTCCGTTCTTTGATCCCTCTTCTGAAAAGCACCGAAAATTGTAACCACCAATTGTTGGGCCACCGAATGCTCGACTGCTTATCATGTAGTGGGAAATTCAACCGAGTGCCTTCATCTGCAACATTATTCGTTTCTGATTTCACGTTACTCGATAAATTCGTCGCATAAGCCGCCACCAACGGCTTCTGAATCTCAGCTCGATCCTCGTCCGAATCCACAGTCGAAACAACACCTAATGGACAACGAGGAAGTAATCTCAATCTAACCATTAATTCAAATCAAAAGTCCAAACATTATTAAGAAAAGTAAAGAAAATGACTACAGCTGATCCCGTCACAGAATCATTCTGTATATCTAAAGACTAATAATAACCAGACGGGACTGCTGTCATTCTTAGAAGTAAAAACTCACCGTTTGAAAGATCCAACAAGAAGTCAGCGAGATTCATAGCGACATTCGGGGCAAACTCGATTCCCGAGAAATAACCGAGCACGCTCAACCCCTTCCCGAAAAACAGAGGATTCCCATCGCACAACAGAAGGACCTTATCGAACTCGTAGAAAATCCTACTCGACGGCTGGTGGATCGTCATCACGACGCTCCTCCCGCCATCGGCCAGCCCACACAGCGTCAACACGAGCCTCGGCGCATTAGTCGAGTCGAGCCCGGAAGTCGGCTCGTCGAGCAGGAGAAGCCCCGGGTTCACGAGCATCTTGTTAGATATGCTGTAAAAGCTTGGCTTTCAGATATTAGTAATACCATTTTGATCTGGCAATCATGTTTTAGTCAAAGTATATATGCTTGCAGTTTATTTATTTATGCAATCATACTCCTTGTCTTACATTGAGATAGTGTGGTTCGTGGTGTCTCGAGCAGAAAGGTCACCTATTAGTTCCTTGTAAGACTAAATCATTTGTTCACAGTCTAGACTGGCAGTGAGACCCCACTCGGAAAAAGACTGTAGTGTATTCTTGATTCAGTTGACCTTGACTGGAGAATTACACTAGTACTTATGTTAAGTATTGAACAGGACAACCGGAAGGATAAGATTATGAGACTCACTGATTGTTGTTGTAATCTATACCTTCAGGGATTGATGCGTTCTCTAAAGCTATAAGATAATATAAAATAGTCGTGTATATTCATTACTTATTTATTTGATTTACCAAGGGTGATTCCTATTCTATTGGGATGACATACTCAGTACTTTGGTAAATAAGAGTGATTATATGACGAGCTGTTATAAATTATTTATGGTACCTTGTTCCAGTACGCTGGATTGATGACGTCCCCGAAATGAGCTCAGGAAGGAATATTGTGTTAAACCCTGCAGGTGGATATTTATCCGACACAATGATTAAAGATCTGAGTGGTACTAATTTCAGAAATGAATAAGAAGTCGATTAATTATCTTGTCAGTAATTTAATTAATCCACGGACGTTATATCTTAAACATGGGGAGGTAAATCGGTTAATCAGATTAATATTTATTAATCAAGTGGAGGTTTAATTTAATTGATTAAATTGGAGCCAAATGGGGAGAGCAATAATAATATTCAAGTGGGATATATTATTATTATATTTTATTAGGATTTTAGAAATTAATTTTATTCCATAATTATTATTCCAAGATTAGGGAATATTCCTTCTATAATATTACCTAGGATTAGGAGACTAGAGAGTCTTCTAGAAGGTGATGTTAGGAGAAGGAGTCATGACCTAATATGGATTAGCTTGTGGAGTAGAATTAGGATTCCTTGGTCTAATAGGATAAGGCCATATTTGGCACCTCCTTAAGGTCCCTAATGGAGCCTATAAATACACCATGTCCCAACCTCTTGAGACAAACATGTGAGACTCGTTTTTTTCATCTTTCAAAGAGAGAAAAATTGTCTTTTAATGGAGCCTATAAATACACCATGTCCCAACCTCTTGAGACGAACATGTGAGACTCGTTTTTTCCATCTTTCAAAAAGAGAAAAATTGTCTTGTTCGAGAGTTAGGGAGATTCAATTAATCGCACCATCAAGATTAATTGAAGTAGGTGTTTAGGTAATCCATTAGAAGGCTTTAAGGTGAGATTATATTAAACCTCAAACCTTCATATTTTCCGGTCACCTTCCTCAGCCGACTGCCGCCATCCGTCGCCGTCGACCACCGCCGGAAAACCACTCCTCGCTCAACCAGGACTCCTCGCTCGATTAGGACTCCTCGCTCAACCAGGACTCCTCGATCGACCAAGACTCCTCGCGCCCCAGGAAACGTGCCGCATACGATCAGCATGACACAGTCCCTGCTCGCCTAGTCCTCACAGGAATAGGAAAGCTGCAGCGCGCTACCCGCACGCACCCGCTATTCCTCGCCTGATCAGGACTCCTCGCGCATATAGGAGACGTCCCGAGCACGTACCAGCGTGAGCCCAGACGCCGCACGCCTAGTCCTTTCAGGCATAAGAAAGTTGACACGCACACGCATCTGTCCGCAACCCGAACCGCTGCAACCCGACCCGACTTGAGACGTGATCCGTTCGTGATTCAACACTCGACTAGAGTCGACAAAGGCCAAACTCTTCAACCGATTGAGTTGTGGTAATCAGACGATCTCCATCAAAGGAAATCAGAAACATCTCTGAGTCGGCAGAAATTTTAAAAGGTAATGTCCTAATCCTAACTATAGATTCCGCTGCGTTAGGATTTATTTCGATAAGTTCAATACTGTGCATGTTGTTGACGTTCCTCACAGAACCCAACACATCTCTTGCCCGATACTAACACGCTTCCTTTCCTCGCCCGAGATGCCCCTCGTGAGCGGGCCCCCGACAATGCTGTCCCAGCACCTCGAAATCCCGAGACGGGCCCCCACGGCAGCCGCATGGCTAGCTTTCTCGGCCGAGGACAGGATGGACGGGAGGCGTAATAGGGCCGTGTAGACGGATGGTTACGCCTACGGTTAGGCAAGGCTGGAGGACGTCGTCTTGGGTGACAAACCCTATGGCCCGCTTGGCGGAGGAAGAGAATTGCCGGCCGTTGCAGGTGATGTGGCTGGAGAGACGGCGGCTGCCGGAGAGACGACCGCCGAGGGCCGTCAGGAGGGTGATTTTGCCGTTGCCGGAAGGACCGAGCATGGCTAGGATCTCGCCAGGTTTGACCGAGCCCGATATGCCTTTTAGGATTGTTGTTCCTCGTTTCAGCTCGTAAGCGACGTCTTCGAACTGTGAATTTTGATGCATTTCGTTGAGATCCAAATTCATATAGTCAGACCGAAGAAAATTAAATTAAATTAAATTAGATGAAAGAATTAATGTACCTTCAGAGTGTTCGTGGGATCCGAATTCATAGTCGACCAATGAAAATTACAAAATTGAATTCAAGAATTAATGTACCAGAGTGACGGCAACGTTAGATTTTGTGAAAACTGCCGACAGTAAAACTAATTTCTTCCATGTTCGCCGGATTTTTTATCCTCCACGTCCAATATGAATTTGTTTCTTCAGCGCAACTAATTTCTTCCATGTTCGCCGGAGTTTTTATCCTCCACCTCGAATATGAATTTGAATTTGTTTCTTCAGCGAAGAGTTCTGTGCGTCTTCGAAAACCTCAATTGTTAGGTTTTTAAATTGATTTGTTCAAAAATATAAGGAACAATATAAGGAAGTCCACTGTTCAAAAATATAAGAGCATCTCCAATGTGAGATGTTGACTTAATAAAATGTTAACCACATCATCAAGTTATAAAGTAATTACAAAAATTACTCTCCAATTCATAATGTTATGGACTCTTTTGAGACAATAAATATCCAAAGTGTGAAGCCCACTTCTAGTTTTCCAAAGAGTGTTTGAAAGCCAACTCATAAAAAATCTAACATATATTAAGGTTTTGAAAGGGATGCATTGGAGATGTGTATTCCAAATTAAAGTCTTCTCTTTTGAGATTCATATTACATGGATTTACATTCCATTCATTATTTGACATGTGTTCAAATTTAATTAATGTTCAAAGTAGAGCATTGGAGATGCTCTAAGGAACAATATAAGGAAGCGTGGACTGTTCAGAAGAGACGTGAATTCTTGTGTTAAAAAATATAAGGAAGCGTGGACTGTTAAGAAGAGACGTGAATTCTTGAGTTGTGAATGAGAAGCCCGATTTTTCAATTCACACTTTTCCGCCAAAAAATTTTAGAGATTAGATTATTATGTAATACATATTGATTTCCTTTAAATATTACATATGACTTTACGCAACATAAAAAAATTTATCTTGTCAAAAAAAAAAATATGAATCATGTCTATCTAGAATATTAAATATCTAAATGTTATATAACACATGTACAAATACATAAAATGTTCCATAATTCTTGATGAGACGTGTGAAATCATCTAATTTTTTTTGTAAAATATTATAAAAAGATATTTAAAAGGTTATATATATGAAATACAATTTCCAACAAACTTATAAATTAAATTCCTATATTTCTATTAAATCTAATTTTCTTTAAAATATTGCAAAAAGATATTTAAAAGATGATATATATGAAATACAATTTCCAACAAACTTATAAATCAAATTTCAGCTCGTAAGCGACGTCTTCGAACTGCGAATTTTGATGTATTCGTTGTGAAAACTGCGGCTGTGAACTAATTTTCTTAGAGTTTTTAAGATGAATTTGTTTCTTCAGCGAAGAGTTATGTGACTACGTCTCTAAAAAGCTCTCTTGTTAGGTTTTAAATTCATTTGTTCAAAAATATAAGGAACAATATAAGGAAGCGAATCGTGTGCACTGTTTAGAAGAGACGGGTTTTTAAATTCATTTGTTCAAAAATATAAGGAACAATATAAGGATAGTTGTGTGGACTGTTTAGAAGTGTTATGATCGCTCCCAAAAATGAGGAAGCCGATTTTTCAATTCACACTTATGAGCCCAAAAATTTTAGATTATTTGATTAATATATAACACATATTGATTTCCTTTAAATATAATCCTTTAAATAATATATATGACTTTACGCAACATAAAAAAATTATCTAGTCCAAAACAATATATAAATCATGTCTAGAATATTAAAACATCTAAATATAACATATGTACAAATATATAAAAGTTACATAATTCTTGAGAGACGTGTGAAATCATCTAATTTTTTTTAATATATTATAAAAAGATATTTAAAAGGTTATATATATGAAATACAATTTCCAACAAACTTATTGATGTAGGGAAGGAGTGGGGCAATAAACGAGATACTCTCTTGATACAACTCACAATCAATTCATATTCAATTCATAATCAACCAAGGAACATAAACTCGAAGGAGTCCTTTATATAAGGCCCCTAACCCTAAACCTTAACTTGTCCACCAAGCCAAGATAAATAAAAATAATAAATAATAATAATTAATCCTAATAATAATAATAATAATAATAATAATAATAATACTATTCTACACCATTCTCCCTCGGTTCAGAAGGCTTCGCCCTCGAAGCCGATGCGCTTCCGTGGCCGGCGTATGGTGTTGAATCTATGGTAAGAAACCCCTATCGTTTTCCCCGATCAAACACGAAAGTTAAACGTCGCCCAACCAATGCAACACTCTCTTGATTTTCATTAAAATGGGATACGACTACAGCTGTCTCACCACCATCAGCAACAAATACCAAGACTCTTGGGCACAACCAAGAGCAAGCACATATGCCTTTAGAATCAGATCCCACACAAAAAATGTGATACCACATATCACATGAATCACAGACAATGGATGCATCAATATCTGAATATACATCAATTGATACCGATCCACTTTGCAGTCATCTCCATTCATGCCGACAACTGCATTCGTATTGATTCCTATGTCCCCGCAAAGATGTTTCTCCGTCACCACAGGCTCTTCATCAAAGATCGGTGAACCATCGTACAATGGCCCGTCAACTTGCTCACTGTTGAATTCGTGGATGTCAACGAGAAACGGTCTTCCCATTGACCATATTCATTTTCATGTCCGCAATCGTGTCGGGCACGATATCCACCGTCGAAGACAACCTCCTCGCGCCTGCCTCTGTCGTCATGTTGATCGTCGCCCTCCACGAAGACCGGGCCCAGTCGCCACATGTCACGGCTGTCGTATGCAGCGAAAGGGTCAGCCTCGACGTGCAGGGTTGGAAAATTATCGAAAGGATTCACCTCCGAGACTCTCCTCGTCATCTTCGTCGCCGGACGGTGGTTGTAGAGATCTCCGGCGGGGCGCCCCACCTGGACCACGGCTTCCACTTCCTCCGCGAATTCCCCGCGCACGTCCCGGTTGCCGGCGTCACGGTACGTTTGCTTGTCCCCAACCATGGTACGGATAGTTAGACGTATGTCCCCGATTTCCGCAGACAGATCTACAATCTCACGACCCATCGTCTTGAGCTGACGGCCAAACCACTCGGTCCGGCGGCTCAGGTTGTAGATGGCGGCGACACACCTGTCGTTTGCAGCATCTTGTCATCGCGACATCATCGTAAATCGTGCTGACTTCTGATACCAACTGATGTAGGAAAGCGTGAACGAAAGGAAGATACATGAGATACTCTCTCGATAAAACTCACAATCAATTCATATTTCATTCATAATCAACCAAGAAACATAAACTAGAAGGAGTCCTTTATATAAGGCCCCTAACCCTAAACCTTAACTTGTCCACCAAGCCAAGATAAATAAAAATAATAAATAATAATAATTAATCCTAATAATAATAATAATAATAATAATAATAATAATAATAATAATAATAATAATAATACTATTCTACACCATTTATATATCAAATTCTATATATTTATAAAATCTATTTTTTTTTAAATATTGTGAAAAGATATTTATAAGGTTATATATATGAAATACAACTTCCAGCAAACTTATAAATCAAATTCCTATATATTTATAAAATAATTAGGTTATGTCCGAATAACCTTCTTTAGAGAACGACACGAGTCCGGGTAGCTCGGTTGCCATCTACCCCACAAATTTCTACTCAACATATTCAAATAAGTTTTGATTTTGTAGAACAATTTTTTTTTAAAAGCGCGAGCTTATCTCCTAAGCTTCATTGGGTAGCTTATGAAATAAGTCCTTTCAAATTTTTATTTCAGCTAGCTTATCAGCTAATTTTACCGAGCACTTCTATCATATAAGCTAACTTTTTCAGACATATAAGCAATAAGCAATCAATTATAAGCTCGAAATTCACTTATAAAAATTGAAGGTAGCATTTCCTTTTTATAGATAAGAGAATAAGATAAGAATTACCATTTTTCAAGAATAGTAAGTCAAATATTTGTCAAAATCCTATTAGCATTAATTACATGCCATTTATGGCAACTTTTTTTTTTCAAAAGAAAATCATGCAGTGCTCCGATCCTNTATTCTATTTTATTATGTGCTATAATATTGAAAGAATACTACTTTTACACAACAGTTGGTAATCCGATTTTATTGCAATGTTTTATCCCATATGTATGTGGATTGTTATTTTTCAAAAATCTGATGAACAAATTGGTTTGTAATTTCAAAAGATCTTTTGTCCTATTTTGATGGGGATTGTTATTCAATTTCGAAAGACTTTACCTTACATTATAAGGTAACTATTATTCCTACAAAACTATAAATTTATGCTATTTCCAAAAGTAACTAATTTAGATTAATATTTTGTACAACAGTAATATTAAACTAGTGTGTACCCCGTGCGATGCACGGGAACAATATTAAATTAAAAACATTACAAATAGACCTTGAGTTTGAGTCACTCAATGGTGGAAGTGGAAACTACTATTGATCCTATTTAAAAAGAGGAAGAAAAGATAATAATTATAAATTAAAGAGGAGGATAAACAATACTTAATAATTATAAATTAAAGATTCGGGGTCAAACAATGTGAAATTATTATGTATAAGAGAATATAAAAAAATTTGATTACACACTATTTCAAAATTATTATTATACTTTTTTGTATGATTAACTTATAATATTTGTAAAAATATTAGTAATGAGACCGATGAAAATTAGCTTCATAAAGTAGATAATGGATTTCTAGTAGTAATTATGAATTAGTTTATGTTTTATTTTATTTTTTATTTTTAAAGATAATGGATTTCTAGTAGTAATTATGAATTGATTTCTATTTTATTTTATTTTTTCAAATATGTATAGATAAGGGATGAGATTTTTTAAACACGTGAGACGTATGCTGTGGGATTTTGTAACAGAAGAGATAAGCTCGTGTAGATTTATACTAAAAATAGGAAAAAATAAAACAAATATTTATTATCGAACAACGGTTTTGATAAACTAAAAAATAGGAAAAAGAGAAACAAATCTTTACACAATTATTGAGCCAATTTATTTGCCTATTCAAATTTGTCCAACAATTACTATATAGGATATATTTAATGATTTTGGCGGGAAAAATGTTTCTAAATTTGTAAAAAGGTTATTCTTTTTATATAATGATAGATATGTCATAGATCTTAATAACAAAATCCTACCCTATTTCAAATCATATTTCATGATGCAAAAACAAATTATGGGGCTTCTTTTACTTTTTAATTAGCTATAGAGAATAATAATAAAAAAAAACTATTTTCATATAAAAAATCCATATGTTCTTTAAAATATATATATNAATAAGGAACAATTTCTTTTGTTATAAAAAAAACATCTGTTTATATATAAAGAGAATAATCATTTACTAAAAATAGTAGCAAAAAAATTTGGGAAACATTTAATGCATACCTTATTTAGAAACTTTGTAATTATATGCGTTAATTGCTTGCATATACACATTTTCAAATTAGATATAATTAAAAATATTATTTTCTTGAATAATTTTTTTAACTTCTACAATATTTTTATTGATATCCATTATAATAAACTATAATTTGATTTTTTGTGATTCATGTTGATAATATTTTAGTCAACATAAAATAAATTTTAAATCTTAACCATATTATTAATTTATTTTTTCACACATAATGACTTTTATCCTCAAATATTTATAAACAATCGTAACATGCTAAATAATTTTCTCCTTCTAAAATCAAGTTGATGAATTTATATATGTCGACAATGTTTTTAACCTTTATTTAATTATATAAAACAAATAATTTCTTTAAATTAATATAATTTATCATTTAAGAGTTAATGATCACTTCATTAAATAATTTTACTAATGGCTAGATAATAAAACTAAAATATATTAATTATTTTTTAGAATTTCAACATGTGATTTTTTTGTATGTTATTGTTAACTATGATAATTTTTTTATCTTTTTTTTGTTGTTTTAATTTGTTTCTATAATGAATTTATTGTAAAATATATTTCTATTGCATAGTATGCTAAATAAACTCTAAAGCCTTAGGATGAAAATTAAAAAAATTTCTTGACTAAATAATCAATTCTATTTTTCCCCCATACGCATACACTATTAAAGAAAAAAAAAAGACCATCACCATCACCTTTTATACTCTATCCAAATTCATCAACTATCCAAATCCCTAACATATATAATAAGAAAATTATATTGATACCAACATCTAATTACTCAAAATTTAGTTTGTTAAAAGAATAACCACCATTCCGTTAAACGCTGGTATTTTCCGATAATTAATTGAAAAAGAGTCTCAAACTGAGATGCTTGAAAATACCGATTTTTATTTCAACAGGGTCTTCTTGAGAAGAGTCCTGAAACTTGCCAATTTCATACTTAGAGTCGTATATACTGCTAAATCCGCTGCTTTGCATTTGGCCCGAGTTTACAATCTTCTGGGTTCTAATAAAGTTGGCATCTTTTTCATTTGAAAAATTGATTGCTATTGCTGTAATTCTTTCCTCTCACTACAAAAAAAATGTCATATTGAAAATCCTACGATAATATATTCCAACGAAAATTTCAACGGATATTAGCTTCCGTTGGAATGATTCCAACAAAAATTCTAACGAAAATATTCCGTTAGAATGAATTTCCTATTGGAATTTTAGATGGAATTTGATGATTCCAACTCCTATTTTTCCAACGGTTTTTTACCGTTGGACTATGCAATTTCCGATGGAATTTTTATTTCTACCTCCGTTGAAAAATCTACCGTTGGAATCTTTAAAATCCATCGGAAATTCCAATGGCAAACTCATTCCAACGGAATATTTTTGTTGGAATTTTCGTTGGAATTCCATTCAAATATATTTGTATTGAAATTTTTCGTTGGAATTTGATCATTTTGTTGTAGTGTCTGTATTATTGTACTTCATTAATTTGAATCTACATGCTTGGTCTCTAGGTTTTGTGTGTTAAAGGAACTTACTTTTCAATTGGTTCATGTTGTTATTTAGAAGTTAGAACACCCCACATGTTGTTTGATAGGAAAAAGTTTGTCTTTAGAATCGGCAGTTGTTTTATCATATTGATAGATGTTTATGATTCATTGACAATATACTAATTTGAATCTACATCCTTGGTCTCTTTGCTTTATTTGTTAAAGGAACATACTTTTCAATTGTTTTGTGTTATCATTAGAACCACCCGTTGTCCCGTGTGTTATTTAATAGAGAAAGTTTGTTATTTCATTGATAGATGTTTATGGTTCACTGATAATATACTCAAAATTTCTAGTTTGTGAAAAAGAGCAGCCATGGATAAAGCTTATTCGAGCATAGAACCAACTCCCATTACCAGGCTTCAGGTTTGTTTGTATTTTTGTTATGTGTATGTGTGTGTGTGTATCAGTGTATGTGTATTTCCTCATTTAAAGTGGTTGCCGAAAGTAACTAAATTGCTCTGTGTGTTGTTGGTCATTTTGTTCCATTTATAAAATTTCAGGGTAAGACTAAAGCAATTGTAGTGTGTAATTTGGTTTCTTGGACTTGGAGCACTTGTCGCATGGAATAGTATGCTGACTATTGCAGATTACTATTACCAATTGTTCCCGGTAGGCACATTTTTCCACATCCTCAAAGTTTNTGGTTAATAAGTTATCCTAGTCCTCTTGAATCACTCCTTTTTTTTTCCTATTACTTTTGGCTATATTTGATCATGAGTTGTATTTGCTTTACTAGATAGATTTGGCCACATCGGGAAAAGGAGGGATCGGAAATTACATCGGCATTTGTGGTTTCGTTGCTGCTTTTGGAGTGGCGGATGCATTGATTCAGGGTGGGCTAATCGGCGATCTTGCTTTTATGTGCCCTGAATTCGTGCATGTATACAAATATAGTTATATAAATCAATTTTCTAATTTGCAAAAGAAAGTGGTTTGGTTTAAATTATGTTGTTCGTTCTTATTGGATTTTTCAGTCGTTTTTTGCTAGTTTGGCTGCATCGGGAGCATTAACTTCTGGCTTGAGGCTAATCACTAAGGCAGCTTTTAATAAAACTGAAGATGATCTTCGTAAGGGAGTTAGTAAGTCACTATCTCACTCTAAAATGTAATCTTTATCTCAGTAGCTTTCACGAGTACTTCATAATATTAATCACTTGATTTTTTTTTTATTTTTTATTTTTTATCAACTCATCTAATATATATTTGCTTTTTTCTGTTTTTGTCAATTATGTAGTTCTGTTTCTTGCCATCTCCACATTTTTTGAATTTATAAGTATTTTCCTCTACGCATTTGTGTTCGGGAATCTACCGATCGTGAAGAACTTCCGGAAAAAAAGCAGCCTTGGAAGGGTCCAAAACGGTCTCGGCTGATCTTGCAGCCGCGGGTATCCATACCTCAAATGGCAAAACTGTAAAAAATCAATCTTTAAAATCCACTTATCTTTGATTGGTATTATTATTATTATTATTATTATTATTTATTTATTTATTTTTTTTTTTTTTT